CGGTGACCAGAACTGTACGCAATACTCCAAGTGCGGCCGCACCAGAGTTTTGTACAGCTGCAACATGACCTCATGGCTCCGAAACTCAATCCCTCTACCAATAAAACCTAACATACTGTACGCCTTCTTAACAACGCTATCAACCTGGGTGGCAACTTTCAGTGATCTATGCACATGGACACCGAGATCTTTCTGCTCATCCACACTACCAAGAATCTTACCATTAGCCCAGTACTCTGTATTCCTGTTACTCCTTCCAAAGTGAATCACCTCACACTTTTCTGCATTAAACTCCATTTGCCACCTCTCAGCCCAGCTCTGCAGCTTATCTATGTCCCTCTGTAACCTGCAACATCCTTCTGCACTATCCACAACTCCACCGACTTTGGTGTCATCCGCAAATTTACTAACCCATCCTTCTACGCCCTCATCCAGGTCATTTATAAAAATGACAAACAGCAGTGGCCCCAAAACAGATCCTTGAGGTACACCACTAGTAACTGAACTCCAGGATGAACATTTCCCATCAACCACCACCCTCTGTCTTCTTACAGCTAGCCAATTTCTGATCCAAACCGCTAAATCACCCTCAATCCCATGCCTCCATATTTTCTGCAATAGCCTACCATGGGGAACCTTATCAAACGCTTTACTGAAATCCATCTACACCACATCAACCGCTTTACCCTCATCCACCTGTTTGGTCACCTTCTCGAAGAACTCAATAAGGTTTGTGAAGCACGACCTACCCTTCACAAAACCGTGTTGACCATCCCTAATCAAATTATTCCTTTCTAGATGATTATAAATCCTATCTCTTATAATCCTTTCCAACACTTTACCCACAACCGAAGTAAGGCTCACTGGTCTATAATTACCAGGGTTGTCTCTACTCCCCTTCTTGAACAAGGGGACAACATTTGCTAGTCTCCAGTCTTCTGGCACTATTCCTGAAGACAATGACGACATAAAGATCAAAGCCAAAGGCTCTGCAATCTCCTCTCTAGCTTCCCAGAGAATCCTAGGATAAATCCCATCCGGCCCAGGGGACTTATCTATTTTCACACCTTCCAGAATTGCTAACACCTCCTCCTTATGAACCTCAATCCCGTCTAGTCTAATAGACTGTGTCTCAGTATTCTCCTCGACTACATTGTGTCTACCCTGTGAAGATCCCTCAGAATCTTATATATTTAAATAACGCCTCATTCTTCTAAATTCCAAAGAGTATCAGCTCAACCAGCTTAACCTTTCCTCATAAGACAAGCCCTTCAACCCAGGAATTAGCTGAGTGAACCTTCTGTAAACCGCTGCTAGTGCAAGTTCCCTAATCAAGGAGACAAAAATTGCACTTGGTACTAAAAGTGTGCCCTTTACCAAAGCCCTGTACAGTCCCAGCAAGACTTCCTTACATTTATACTCCATCCCCCTTTGCAATAAAACCCAACATCTCACTGCCTTTTTCATTACTTGTTGTATCAGAACATTAAGACCCTGTGGTACGTGTATTAGGATACTCAGATTCCACTGTACCATAGCAGTCCACTTTAAAGGAACAGGAAAAAAATATGATAAATCCCTCTCCAAACCCATCTCCTCATGGATCTAATGATCTAGCCCCTTCATCATCTTAGAAATGTATGTATATTGCAATCAAATCAGTCCCAGGATGACATTGGTGGAGCTCTACCAACATGTTCTCATTGATCAGCTCTTAGTAGCCCAGGTAGCTATGAAGAAGGGAATGAATGTTGGCCTCCTCTGTCGCTTCAGTATCACAGACATGCCTGCGTTTTATATATAGGTGGAAGCATTTGTATCTAATGCAATCTTGATAAATTGAAAAAAAATCTAACAAGGGATTTCTATGTTGGTATTAAAACTGATAATTTTTGATTTTAACACCAAAATGCAAAACTTTGTACGTTCATTTTAAAGTGGATGCAATTGTACAGAGACAATTTTCAGTGGGTTAATAAGAAAAATAAGAAAAAAAACAAAAATAAAATATTACCTCCAGAATTGAGGTATCGCTTCCCACTACGGACTGGTGGATACTTATCCTCCAGGGACTCGTCCGGCCAGATAAATCCTTCTGCTGCAAAGATCACCTTGTGATTAAACAGTACAAACTTCTTCAGCAGTTCCAGAGGAGAGCCAGCAAAGATGACATCATAACTGTAGGGGCAAGATGGAGGGAGTGCATTGATAACATCATTAGCAAGGGACAACACTATTGTGACAAATATTGAACTTACATCACGGAAACAAGCCATTAAGCCCATCTGTTCCATGCTGGTGTTCAGGCTCCTCAGGAGCCTCTTCATCGCACCCTATCAATATATCTTTCTATTCCTTTCTCCCTCATGTGCTTTGTTCCAAACATGAACAATGGACCTGAATTCCTGAGGTAAGGTCAAAGTGGTTGCCTTGACATCAACGGAGCATTCAATTGAGTGTGGCATCAAGAAGCCCTTTGCAAAACTGGAGTCAATGGGAATTGGGGAAAGGAAGATGATTGTGGTTGTTGGAAAGTCCCACTCCGAGACTCCAGCACAAATCCTAGGTTAACAATTCCGTGCAGCGCAGAAGTTAGCTTGCAAACCACTGAAAGCGATTGTTTTTAAAAAAAAACCTATGGGTGGTCCTGATCCCCAGACAGTATTGGAGGACCAGCAGAGGAAGATCCCCCCACATGGGATTAATGTTTATTCTCCAATATCACCAAAATAAATTGCTGTCTGTGGGATTTTGCTGTGCGTAAAAAAGCTGCTGCCTAACTGAACTTCGTAACAACGGCCATACTTTGGATTCTTTATGCCCGAGGTTGAGGTTGTAGACTTGCTCACTGAACGGGGTGTTTGATTGCAGAAGTTTTGTCACCCTGCTAGGTAACATCGTCAGTGCGCCTCCAAGGAAATGTTGGGGTTCTGTCCCGCTTGTTGTTTATATGCCTCGGTTTGCTGGGGTGTTTGGCATCTCTTTCGGTTCTGTTTTTCAGTGGGTTGTATATAAGGTCCAGTTCAATGTGTTTGGGCCCTGGCATGTCTCTGTTTGGCTCGTGCTATTATGGATGCGTTGTCCCAGTTGAACACACCGGATCAGCGAGCAAGTCTACAACCTCATCCACAACCCGAGCTACTTCTCAAAATCCTTTATGCCTGCCTGAAAGGCCCTCAATTTAATATCTCAGCTGAAAGGTGGTACCTCTGACAGTGCTGCACCCCCTCAAGCACATAGAATGGGACTCAAACCCATGACTTTCTGATTTAGAGGGGCATGTGCCTGCCCAATAAGCCACACCTGACACTGCAGAGGGACCATGGGTTGTTCTGGTTGACACTCATTATGGAGTGTGAGGCCTAATCCAGAAGAGAATGCTGATATCTACAAGGTAACATCACAACTAGCAAACCAGAGGCCAAGGCTAATGCTGTAGGGACCTGGGTTCAAATGCCTCCATGGCAACTGGTGGAATTTAAATTCAACTTATAAAGCTGGCGTTAAATGCTACTCTCACGACTTCAGTAAAAACCAATCTGGCCCACCAATGCCCTTTAGGGAAGGAAATCTGCTGTCATTACATGGTCTGGCCTACATATGACTCCAGACCCACAGTAATGCCGTTGACTTTTAACTGCCCTCTGAAATGGCCAAGCATGACATTCAGTTCAAAAGCAATTAGGGACGGCCAACAAATGCTAGTCTAGCCAACAAAACACATATCCCATGGAAGATGAGAAAAAGAAAAAGCTTTCAGCGTAACGGTGGAGATGGGGAATATTAAGTAGGACAAGAACCAGTCCCACTTAAATGAGACCAAAGTATTGAAGAAGAAGGTTCAGTTCCTTCCTTGGCTACAGATGTGAACTCTCCTTGTTCTTGTACCTTGTATCCTATTACCAACCTAGAACAAATAAACCAACTCATTCACTGCTAAACAATCATGGGCAATGATTCCCATGGTTTCACAGTCTGGTGTCACAGTTTGGGGCAGATGGTATAACTTTACACAGAAATCTCAGTAAGATTAGCAAATGACAACTTTTTTTTGAAAAGAAAGATGCACTGTTTGTTCTGACATGAACTGCATGGTCAAGACTCCCCAATATTTCCATTCTTACCCCTCCTGCCTGGGTCTTAATCCAAGTCCCTGCTTTCCAGTCTGGGTTTGGACAATTCTAATTTCTAATTCTAATTCACAAATTTCTAATCAGCAAACCTAAGGCACCATGGAGGGAGCTTTACTCTGTATCTAACTCAGTGCTGTCCCTGACCTGTTAGTGTTTCATGGGGACAGAGCAGAGGAACCTTTACTCTGTATCTAGCCCTGCGCTGTACCTGTCCTGGGAGTGTTGGATAAGGGACAGTGTAAAGAAAGCTTTATTCTGTATCTAACCCCATGCTGTACCTATCCTGAGAGTGTTTCATTGGATCAGAGCAGAGGGAACTTTACTCTACATCTAACCCTGTGCTGTCCTTGTCCTGCGAGTGTTTGATAGGGATAGTGTAGAGGCAGTTTTACTCTGTATCTAACCCCGTGCAGTACCTGTCCAGGGAAGGTTTGGTTGGGATAGAATACAGGAAGCTTTAAAGATAGCAGGTGTGCTCTCCACTTGTCTTGTGTCCAATATTAATTGCTCATTAATTCGTTGTCACAGATTATTTATCTGCTATCATATTGCAATTTGTGAAAGCATGCTGTATTCAGATTGGGTGCCATGTTTCTTATGTTACAGCAATGTTTATAACAAATCTGATCCCCTCAATCTCAAATGCAAAAAACCAAGAAGCACTAAGATAAAATGCAGAATTCTTTATTATTTCAAAGAAAAGGGTTTCTCTGCCATCTCCACAAAATGTTTTCTTTTAGAAATACAAAACCTAATCTGTTGAGCTTCCAAAAGCTGGTGAGAATAATTCCATTTCTCATTGTATACCTAAGACAGTAACATGTAGAATTAGAAGTGGGCCATTCAGCCCATCCAGTCTGCACCACCATTCAATGAAATCATAGCTAATCTGATAATCCTCAACTCCACTTTCCTGCCTTTTCCCCGTAACCCTTGAATCCCTTACTAGTTAAAAAACCTTTCTATCTCAGCCTTGATTTTGAGCCACTGGATTCAATTTAAAATTGCTACTCAAAAGTTCCTCTCATCAGTAGTTGAAAATCTTGGTTCAGGATGCCACCAGCAACCCTAGGCCGGGATCTGTGTCTCGAGCCCTGATTTTCTTTATTTTTCGATGCCCATTCAGGTACAGACATCGTGCCAAATCTGAGGATTTCTAGGAATCTGGAGGTTCTGCCAACCAGCTACAATGAATGCTTCACTCTTACAGGGAAGGAGAGTCAAAGGTTTTCTCTGTTTAACATTGGGAGCACAGCCCTTTGCATTGCCTGTGTCTCGCTCTGATTCTCATTGGTGTCAGATTGTCAACTCTTCAGGATTAGCCTGTATCCTCCAGGAATCAAAGCTCTAGCACGCTGTTGTGCCCAACTCTTGAGAAAAATCAGTTATATTAAAAAGCATTTTTAAAAAATGATTTTCTTTGGGCATTCCTTTTTATCAGATTTAAAATATTAAAAATGAGGGGTCAGAAAGGCTTTTTAACGCTCAATAAAGTATCATCCAAATGGAATTTTGTTTTCCTAATGGTCTAGGGAGGCAGTGCATCACAAGCCGGATGTGTTGGCAATGAATTATTTAAGGACAGGATGAAACCTCCACTATTATGTTCAGGTGGCAACCCTGCTTTGGTCTCTTCCACTCTGTACACACCCCATCAAGCTCCTATTTCAACACCTTCCTGACCAGCAGCCCACCACCCACTGTTCCCAAGCTCATTTGAAACTCTGCTGCCCTTGTCCCAACCCACAGCAAGACTCCATCACCTCCTTGCTCTCCGAACTGGATTATTTCCGTTCTGACAACACTTGACTTTAAAATTCTCATCCAGTTTCCAAACCCCATCTACACCAACCCCGCACCCACCATCCACATCTCTGTATACTTCAATCTCCAAATTCATCCCTGTGTCCCCTGCTCGTGTCCCCCACCATCAATACTCTCCTTCCAGACCCGTGAGAATATCCCCCGGTCCCCGAATTCTAGCCATTCTCATTGTGACAATGCGTTCGGCTGCTTCAGGCCCTGGGCTCTGGAATTCCCTCCCTGGGCACCAATCTGAAGGTCTACATAGATCCAGGACTCACGTATTGCAACCAATTTGTGTGGATGGGGAAACAGAATTTTCTACCATTGTCAGGGCCTCCGTGGACAGCACTCACACCTTAGCTTCAGAAGGTTGCAAGTTTGAGTCCCTCTCCAGAGACCAGAAGACAAAAATCCAAGGTGCTACTCGCGGTGCAGTCTGAGATAATGGCACAGCATTGCTGGAAGAGGGAACCACTTGATCAGGGCCGAACATGTGGCCCTCTCTTTGTCAAGTGGATATAGAAGATCCCATGGCCATTGTCTGAAGAGCGAGGGCACTCTTCCCATCATTCTAGCACAATATTTTTGCTCCAACAATGTTGGCAAATTGTAGAAAATTGAGGGAGCAATCATCAGATTGTATAAAAGGTGTATAAAATGATTAAAGGATCCAACAGGGTCCACAGAGAAACTAGGTTTGTATCTGCTGCAGATTTGAAAGGCCGGCTCGAGGAAGCTACTCCTGCTCCTAATTTGTACGTTTGTAAACAATTTTCTCCAGAGATGAAGAAGTGGGAAGCAGAGCCTTCAAATTCAAGTCAGGCCATTTAGGGTGATGTAAGGTCATGTTTCCAGTAAGATGGCACTGGAGCAGGATGCTCCAGCCAGAGTTCCTCAACTCTGCCCATTCTTTTTCTTTTTTGCCCCTCTTTACTCCTTCTCTCCTCCAGACCTCGGACACCCAGACCTCGGCCTTTGAATTGGGGATGCCAGCAACCAGAGCGGGGATGCCAGCGGCCCAGAGTGGGAGCGTGGCGGCTGCGGTACCACAGCGCGGGAGCGTGGCCGCCGCGGCACACCAGGGCGGGAGCGTGGCAACAAACAGCGGTCAGACCATGTGGAGGCCCCCTGCACTGGTCTGCTGCAGAAAGCCCCGGGAGAGAACTGTGATGTTTGTCTTTTTAATTTTGCTTCTTGTTTTTCTGACTTATGCTTATACTGTGTATAGCTGTAATGTGA